AAATAAAGAATATAACCAGAAACAGAGCAGGAAATAAACTAGCAGAAAAAGCAACCCATCAGGGATTTTAGCTGACATGGTGAGTGATTGATTTACAACGTGTTTACTTTAGCAAGCACCCAGCGGCACCAAAGTTCAGACTGCAACATTTTCATCTGTCTTTCTTGCAAAAGCCTTCGTGAGCCTTCCCTTCGTCAACAGAACAGGTAAGGAACATTAATCATCTTTGGGGGGGTTATTTTTGGGCGGGGGGGGGGGGGGGGGATTAAAAATAAGTAATAAGCTTGAGCATTTTTAGGGTAAAACTGAGACAGGGAATTCAATGACTATAACTCAAGGCAATCGATTTGTCAAATCAAATCTGATCCTAGTGTTGCCATGAACACTCAGGAGAGGATGCAATTCAACTGCTGGATTTTTACTTAGTATTTTGATGCTATACTGCTGCTCAGCATACCTTAGTGGGGGAAACACTAAGAAAACCAAGGCTTGCTTGTGGTCATTGTGTTGCATCAGAAAACTGCGAAGGGAAGACTTTTAAAAGTCTTTTAAAAGTTCCTCTAAGCCCGGACAGCTTTTAAGACTTGGGGACTTCAACTCTCAGAATCCCTCCTCCAGTCATGTTAGCTCAGGAATTCTGGGAGTTGAAGTCCACAAGTCTTAAAGCTGCCATGTTTGGTTGGCTGTTGTCAGAAGTCTAAAGCAGAGGTCTTCAAACATGGCAGCTTTAAGACTTGTGGACTTCAACTCCCAGAATCCCTCCTCCTCCTGTCATGTTAGCTCAGGAATTCTGGGAGCTGAAGTCCACAAGTCTTAAACTTTGCCAAGTTGGAAGACCCTTGCTCTAGTCTAGGCAGTACAGGTGGCAGATCAATTTGGATGGCAGAGAGTAAGAAAAGATTGTTCTATAAATTAGGGCAACTTCTGTTCCATCGGTTGATTGTTCTCCCTCTCAGAAAAATTCTTCCTTATTTCCAGGTTGAATCTCTCTCCTTGTTCAGTTTCCATCCATTATTATTCCATGTCTGGCCTTCAGGTGCTTTGGAAAATAGCTTGACCCCTTCCTCCTCTCTGTGGCAGCCCCTCAAATATTGGAAGACTGCTCTCCTGTCTCCCCTGGTCCTTCTCTTCCCTAGACTCGCCAGGCCCAGTTCCTGCAACTGTTCATCGTAGGTTTTAGCCTCCAGTCCCCTAACCCTCCTGGTTGCTCTTCTCTGCACTCTTTCTAGAGTCTCAACATCTTTTTTTATAGTGTGGTGACCAAAACTGGATGCAGTACTCTAGGTGTGGCCTTACTAAGGTTTTGTAGAGTGGTATTAGTACCTCCCTTGATCTTGATTGTATCCCGCTGTTAATGCAACGTAGGATTGCGTTGGCTATTTCGGCTGCCGCCACACACTTTGCAATTAGTTGATTCAAACATCTCAACCGTATCTAGTTGACTTCACTCTTTGGAACCCAAATTGTATTTTTCATCTACGAAGAGAATCTGGTTCAGCAGACCATGTAAAACCTGTTCCCATCCTCTTGTCTAGACCTCGTTCGAAGGACCCTGTTTCCAGCCGAAATACGATGAAGATCTTCTGGCATTCAGCGGTCTTCTTCTCCCTCACCATCTCCTTGGTCTGGTGTGACATCAAGGACCTTCACGGGCACTTCGATCTACTGAGTGAGGAGGCCCTATCCTTCCACCCTCATGGCCTTCTCAGCAACAAATCCCTTCAGGGGACAAACCTGTCCCCCGAATACCACCAAGAAAACACCGTGACCAACGACTTGAGCATGGAAGAGGAGGAAAACTACGAATACTTGGACTTCGACAAGCTCTTACGCGAAGACGACTACATCGATATCATTGATAGCATCCCGGAAGCGACGTCTTACGCCGACCAAGGAAACGTACTGGCCCTCTTTCGCGGGAAGACCAGAATCCAACGTCTCAACATCCTGAATGCCTATTTTGGCTTCAACCTTTACCGAAGCCTTCGGGACCACGTCAACTCTTCCGACAACATCTTCTTGGCTCCGGTGGGCATCTCCACCGCCATGGCCATGGTTTCGTTGGGACTCGGAGGCCGAACGCAGAAGGAAGTCTTGGACGTTCTAGGTTTCGAAGACTTTGTGAACGCCAGTTCCACCTACGACTACATGACCGTTCACAACCTCTTCCACAAACTCACGCACCGGCTTTTCCGGCGCAATTTCGGCTACACCCTCAGGTCAGTCAACGACCTCTATGTCCAAAGGCAGTT